TATATGGCAGTGTAGACTCAAGCCCCTTCTACACTGCCATATAATCCAGATTATCAAAGCAGAGAATCCATATTATCTTATTGGATTCTTATTGAGTCTACACTGCCATATAATCCAGTTCAAAAAAGATAATCCAGACGATGTATTGGAGCTTAATCCATGTTTGGTGAGGCAGCAGCACTCTTTGGCAAAGAAGGCAGAAAACCTTGTGAAACTACAATTCCCATGATTCCATAGCATTGAGCCCTAGCAGTTAAAGTGATATCAAACTGCATTAGTGCTACAGTGCGGGTGCATCACCACTCTAATGCTCAAAGTACGAAACCACACTGACTTGCAATAAATATCAGAATTTGGTTGAGAAGTTATGGATACATCTGTAAATTCCATGAATCCTTTGACTGTAGATCAGGCATGGGCAAACTTGGGCCCTCCAGGTGTTTTGGACTTCAACTCCCACAATTCCTAACAGCCTACCGGCTTTTAGGAATTGTGGGAGTTGAAGTCCAAAATTTATTTTGGGGTTCTTTTACCCCGCCCTTCTCACCCCGAAGGGGACTCAGGGCGGCTTACAAAAGCAAAGGCACAATTTGATGCCTGCATCATAAAAACAATCATACACAAAATTACATCAATTCAAGTTAACAACAATTCATGCATTATAACCATAAAATCAATAAAACCAGTACAAACCCAATTCCTCCTCCTACATGGTCAGCATTCGCTAACTCATAGTTCTAGTTTTCCATTTCACTTCGTCAGTCCTGTTGATCTTACTTGCCTGATTGTCTTATTTAATTGCCAGCGTGTCCAAAGGCCTGGTCCCATAACCACGTCTTCACCCTCCTCCTGAAGGAGAGGAGGGATGATGATGCCCTAATTTCCCCCGGGAGTGAGTTCCACAGGTGAGGGGCCACCACTTAGAAAGCCCTGCTCCTCGTCCCCACCAGCCTCACTTGTGACAGTGATGGGGTCGAGAGCAGGGCCTCCCCAGATGATCTCAGACTCCGGGGTGGGACGTAGAGGGAGATACGTTCGGACAGATATGCTGGGCTGGAACCGTATAGGGTTTTGTAGGTCAAAACCAGCACCTTGAATTGTGCTCGGAACTGAATCGGCAGCCAGTGGAGCTGGCACAGCAGGAGGGTGGTATGCTCCCTGTATGTCGCTCCGGTGAGCAGTCTGGCTGCCGCTCGCTGGACTAGTTGAAGTTTCCGAACAGTCTTCAAGGGCAACCCCACGTAGAGAGCGTTGCAGTAGTCTATTCGGGATGTAACAAGAGCGTGGACCACTGTGGCCAGATCAGACTTCCCAAGGTATGGGCGCAACTGGTGCACAAGTTTTAGTTGCGCAAAAGCTCTCCCGGCCACCTGGAAGGCCCAAGTTTGCCCATTCCTGCAGTAGATGCTCTGAGTTAACTTGGGTGGTGCATGAAAAGTGTGCCCTCCTCCACAGAGCCATTGTGCATGTGCATATATGTCTTCATGTTATCTGTTGACATATGGTGATCGTGAACGTGACCCTTTCCAGCATAGTGTTGGGTCCAAGTTGTCATATACTTTGATGCTCACCGTCTCTTTCCCCAATCTTTTTCCTCTCCTGTTTTGCCTGTAAGCTAGTTTACTGCATGCAATTGTTTTATGTTTTTGTTTTAATGTTTTGTTTACAGTGCCGAAAAATCCTATACATATCTATTCCTTCTGGCGTGCATACAGTTGTAGCAATGGATTTAATGCTCTTGTCGGCCTTCGGCGAGGAAACAAATGTAGCATCCTGGTTGATTTTATATCTCTGCTTCTGCAGCTTGGGTTGCTCTTGAGATTTTGCTTCTTTATTTCAATCCAGTCTTCATTCAGCAGGCTGCAGAGAGATATACGCATGCATCCCATAAGTCTCCCAGCATTTGAATATGCTCACATCCTGCGTTGTTTGGGATCCATCACAGTATTTAACCACTCCGGAATAAAACTGTTTCTTATTTAATGGATTGGCGTTTTTACATCCGTTTTTGTATTTTCTTTCATTTCCTTCTCCAACAGAATTGTGATTTAGGATGTTGCTTCCAATGCCATGCCAATGAGTTATTGTGGGGGGAAACCCACACCCCTATTTTCCTAAAATTGCTTTAGGAGGCTTTAAGCATCTTAAATATTGTGATTTGTAGAAGTAATGAACGCTCTGGGGACGGCACTTGAGAATGCAATCGCGTATATTTACTGCAAAGGTTGTAGCCTCTATCTCACACAATTATTCCTCTATGAATCTCGCGCAGTTAAAATATATCATTACGGAGAAATGGTTGGTTTCCAAACACCAATGAAGATTACAGCTATAAAGGGTCCTTCAGATTGCGCAGCTTGGAGCTTCAAAAAGGAATGCATGGATCCCGTGCTTATGTACGGCGGGCAGAATAGGGCATCATTTCCACTAATCTGTTTAGAAGGATTTATATATTTGCTATATATATATATATATATATATATATATATGGAACCCCCCCCCCCCCGGTGGCACAGTGGGTTAAACCGCTGAGCTGCTGAGCTTGTTGACCGAAAGGTCACAGGTTCAAATTCGGAGAGCGGCGTGAGCTTCCGCTGTCAGCCTCAGCTTCTGCCAACCTAGCTGTGCCGTCGCGCCTGGGGGCTACAACTCTTAGTGAAAGAGGCATGGACGTAACATCTTTCCCCCAGGGGATTGCTTCTTGCCCTCCTTTAGGAAACTGGAACTCTCAAGGACCAAAACACTGTAGATAACTCAAAATAGGTTTTTATGTTCACAGAGTGTTATCCCTTTAAGGCAATAAGCTGGAAGTTTCAAAGGGGTAAAGGAAAATAAACATTACAATTTCTGGTTGTCTTGGGTCCAAGGAGTTTTGAAGCTGAGAAGCTTTTCCAAGTTCCCTCTTTTCTCAATGGCTGTGAAAGTCGAAACAAACACAACCCCAGTCCAATGGCTTATGTTGAAGGGACAAAGCCTTCCTCTGGTGCCAAATAACTGGTTTGAAGGCGCTTGAGACTTCTCAACATCGTCCAGGTTGATCTGAACATGAAGCATAAGTCTCAAGGGTAAGAACCTCAGAATTGGTGATGAGAGGTAACTTAATTAAGGGCTTTAGAGCCAAGTCTCTTTCTCACGTCTATCTGATAGAAAGTTTGATGGTAGAATGAAGAAGGAAACACTGCCCTGCTCATCTAGGAAGAGGTGGGGCCAAACAATTGAGCTGAGGGAGCAATTCAACTGGTGCAAACAACATTGATTGACAGCTACAAATGACCAATCAATCCAACTATACATTTACAGAGAAAGCAGACAAGTTGTGGCATGTTACACAGTTTAAACCTTTGCAAATTAAAGTTCTACATATAGGTGGTGCCACTCGCGCCGTCACACTAGCAGTTTGAAAACATGCAAATATGAGTATATCAATAGGTACCGCTCTGGCGGGAAGGTAAGGGCACTCCATGCAGTCATTCCAATGGCTACATGACCTTGGAGGTGTCTACGGACAATGCCGGCTCTTCGGCTTAGAAACAGAGATGAGCACCAACCTCCAGAGTCAGATGCAACTGGACTTAATGTCAGGAGAAAACCTTTACCTTTATATATGAATATATTTTTGCAATATATATGCAATAGAAGACATTTTGTAAAGCTAACCAGTGTGTTACTGCATACCCAAATTAAGCATTATCTTATAAACGGATAGTAGTTATTGGGTTGTTGTAGGTTTCTTCGGGCTATATGGACATGTTCTAGAGGCATTTCTCCTGACGTTTCACCTGTATCTATGGCAAGCATCCTCAGAGGTAGTGAGGTCTGTTGGAACTAGGAAAAAGGGGTTTATATATCTGTGGAATGACCAGGGTGGGACAAAGGACTCTTGTCTATTGGAGCTAGGTGTGAATGTTTCAACTGACCACCTTGATTAGCATTTGATTGCCTGGCATTCTTTGCTGCTTGATCTGCGTTACTGTTGTCATCTCTACAACATCTTTATTAGTGACTTAGAGGAAGAGTTAGAAGGCATGATCATCAAGTTTGCAGATGGGAACAAATGGGGAGAGCCAATATTCCAGAAGACAGGAGCAGAATTCAAAACCATCTTCACAGATTAGAGAGATGATTAGCCAAAACTAACACAATGAAGTTCAACGGGGACAAATGCAAGATGCTTCACTTAGGCAAAAAAAATGAAATGCAAAGATACAGAATGGGGGAGAATGCCTGGCTCAACAGCAGTACCTGTGAAAAAGTCCTGGGAGTCCTCATGGACAGGAAGGTGACCATGAGCCAACAATGTCATGTGGCAGCTAAAAAATCCAATGAGATTTTGGCCTGCATTAATAGGAGTCTAGTGCCTAGATCCAGGGAAGTCATGCTCCCCATGCTCTATTCTGTTTTCATCAGACCACTTTTCCTGGAATCACGCTGTGTCCAATTCTGGGCACCACAATTGAAGGGAGATGTTGACTCTAAGTTGTAATGTGTCCAGAGGAGGGCTGCTAAAATGGTCAAGGATCTGGAGAATGAGCCCTATGAGGAACAACTTAAAGAGCTGGGCATGTTTAGCCTGCAGAAGAGAAGGCTGAGAGGAGACAAGATGAGGGCCATGGATCAAGATGTGAGGGGAAGTCATAGGGGGGAGGGAGCAAGCTTGTTTTCTGCTCCCCTGGAGACTAGGATGCAATAGAACAATGGCTTCAAACTACCGGAAAGGAGATTCCACCTGAACATTAGGAAGAACTTCCTAACTGTGAGAGCTGTTCAGCAGTGGAACTCTCTGCCCTAGAGTCTGGTGGAGGCTCCTTCTTTGGAGGCTTTTAAACAGAGGCTGGATGGCCGTCTGTTGGGGGTACTTTGAATGTGATTTTCCTGCTTCTTGGCAGAATGGGGTTGGACTGGATGGCCCGCCAGGTCTCTTCCAACTGTAGGACTCTATGAGTGTATCATTCTCCTTCTTGATCTCCCATTGGTAACGCCTCTGTTCCTCTGTGTCTCAGTCTGTTCACAGTTTTCCAGAGGAGTCTATGCCATCTTTGGATTCTATGACCAGATGTCGATGAACACCTTGACCTCGTTCTGCGGGGCGCTGCACACCTCTTTCATCACCCCCAGCTTCCCGACGGACGCCGATGTCCAGTTTGTCATCCAAATGCGGCCGGCCCTGAAAGGAGCCATCCTGAGTCTTCTGACCTATTACAACTGGGAGAAGTTTGTATACCTCTACGACACAGAAAGAGGTAAGGAGAGGCCTTCCCATTTCACCTTCATTTTCTCCTGATGCTTGTTCACTATGGAAAGGAGGTTGACATTGCACATTGGTTTTCAAAATTTTCTATGTACTGTAATATTTTGGGTTACATGGTTTACTTACTGAACTGCATTATAAGGGTCTCCACTGACCAAATCGACTCAGGAACATTGCTGTAGTCCTGTTATTATTTGTACAACAAAACATGTCTGGAACAAGCTCAGTTCTAGTGTGAGTTCACCAGGAAAAACATTAGTGGTGAAGATGGGAATCTACAGAATCTCGGGGGTTTCACATACTTTTTAAAAAATACGATAACTTGAAAAGCAGGAGTGCTATAACCATTGTTTATATCCATGTTCCGCTACTTGTAATTCTCACAAACATCAGAAGAAACTTCAAACTATAGCTTGCAAGTGAATCACGTGCTAGACTGTTCCGTAATTCCTGATCATAGAAAGATGGCATGTTAATGGATGAGGAGCCCCCAAGTGGGAGGAGCCCCCAGTGGCACAGTGGGTTAAAGTGCTGAGCTGCTGAACTGGATGACTGAAAGGTCGCAGGTTTGAATCTTTGGAGTGGGATGAGCTCCCACTGTTAGCCCCAGCTTCTGCCAACATAGCAGTTTGAAAAGATGCAAATGTGAGTAGATCAATAGGTACCGCTCAGGTGGGAAGGTAACAGTGCTCCATGCAGTCATGTTGGCCACATGACCTTGGAGGTGTCTATGGACAATGCCGGCTCTTCGGCTTAGAAATGGAGATGAGCACCACCCTCCAGAGTCAGACATAACTGGACTTAATGTCAGGGGGAAACCTTTACCTTTACTTAAGAGGGGATAGTCTACCTCTGTGTTCTCCAAAATATGGATGGCTTTGCTTCTTTTGAATCTTAGAATCATAGAGTTGGAAGAGACCTCATGGACCATCGAGGTCAACCCCATTCTGCCAAGAAGAAGGAAAGTCGCATTCAAAGCACCTCCAACAGAAGGCCCCAACAGATGCCCATTGTCCACATGTATTTGGAATTAAACTTATATAAAGACAGGAATGGAGAAATAAAAATGGAATTTGTGGCCAGATTAATCTCCCTCACTACTCGTAGTTTTCATCTCTTGAAGAACTGAATTCCAAGCATGGGAAAGCATTTTCCACTTTTAGTTAGCAATTGCCACTACTGGGCTTTTCTGATGACAACACCTGAGCTGGCAGAAAACCAGGGCCTCTGGTCCCAAAATAACTTGTCCAAGTTCTATCTTAAGCCAAGCTTGAGGTGAGGCAACATCACATGAGCTTCAACTATTTCCAGAAAGGATTCTGCCTTGAGGATATTTCGGGAGGGGAAACAACATTATCCCATGTAGGGTTACAAATACGTAAGCGGTGCTTTTGTACAACTGGAAGGCACAAGGCAGTGCGCTGGCACACTTGCTCTAAGCTAGTTTGCTAATAAATTTAGTTGTTCCTTTGCAAATGCAGGTTAATTATTTAGAATGAAATTGTCTTTGAGCCATGCTGTTCTAACTGGGGGTAATCATTTGACCTGAAGTTTGCTCATTCTACATATTTGGGTATCTTCTCTATGTGTGTGTCTGTGTGTGTGTGTGTGCACCCATGTCTGTGTGTGTATATATGTTTCAAGCAGTCCTTCAGCATTCCAGAAAGATAAACGTAGTTGGGGTGCTTTGGCCACGTCATGAGGAGATGGCGGAGCCTGGGGAAGACAATTATGCTGGGGAAAGTAGAAGGTAAAAGGAAGAGGGGCCAACCAAGGGCAAGATGGATGGATGGCATCCTTGAAGTGACTGGACTGACCTTGAAGGAGCTGGGGGTGGTGATGGCTGACAGGGAGCTCTGGCGTGGGATGGTCCAGGAGGTCACGAAGAGTCGGAGACGACTGAACGAATGAGCAACAACAAAACATAATCACTTTAAGCATATATGTTTCAAAGTTGGATCAAAGTTGGCTTTGATTTAGAGCAACTAGAGAAGTTGGAGGTAGAGTTGTACTGTTTTCCTTCATTTCATCCATTCGTTCATTACTTCAGGAGCACGTAATGGGAAACCCTCTCCCAGTACGAAAATCAGCTCAATAAGAAAGCAAGGGGGAAACAATAATGGCTCCTCTCATGCTTTTCGTGAGCTCATGGCACTCCATACCTCCTTGCCTTGGAAAGAGAGGGAGTGTATGTGTGTGGTGTGCAGTCCCAGAAAGCGTGTGTAGCTGAGCCGAGCACATCCTCTAGAGTAAGAATGAGAACTTGCCTCCTTGCCTTGGAAAGAGAGTGCGTTGCGGGCAGGCACTTCTCCTCTAAAGTAGAAAAAGGTAAGAAGCCTCCTTAAAGCACATGCTGACTTCAGCTAAGCACCTCTCCTCTAGAGTAAAACAGCTTCAATGCCTAAAATGATGGGAAGGGGAGTCTGGACCCCCCCCCCTATAATGGGCCAATAGAAAATGGATTTTTTGGCACCACAGAGTGAAAACAGATATCTGCCCTCCCAATTTTGGGAGGCTCCCAAAACCAGATTGGAGCCCCCACCAAAAGCCGGGAGACGATTTGGGTCAAGTTGTACCCTAAAAGCACAACCCTAGTTGGAGGACAAAATGTCTTGCTAGAGTATCTTGATATCCCTGTTTTCTTTCTCATTTAGATTGAGAAGGAGGGATGGACAAACATGGGCAGAGTTTGAATTGTTTTGTTTTGAAGACCAAAGTGAGGTCTTGGGCTTTGCAACTCTCACATATTGTTTCTTGTTGCTAGTTGTATGATTGTATCTGACATAGAATCATAGAATCAAAGAGTTGGAAGAGACCGCATGGGCCATCCAGTCCAACCCCATTCTGCCAAGAAGCAGGAAAATTGCATTCAAAGCTCCCCCGACAGATGGCCATCCAGCCTCTGTTTAAAAGCTTCCAAAGAAGGAGCCTCCACCACACTCCGGGGCAGAGAGTTCCACTGCTGAACAGCTCTCACAGTCAGGAAGTTCTTCCTCATGTTCAGATGGAATCTCTCTCTTGTAGTTTGAAGCCATTGTTCCATTGCGTCCTAGTCTCCAAGGAAGCAGAAAACAAGCTTGCTCCCTCCTCCCTGTGGCTTCCTCTCACATATTTATCCATGGCTATCATGTCTCCTCTCAGCCTTCTCTTCTTCAGGCTAAACATGCCCAGCTCCTTAAGCCGCTCCTCATAGGGCTTGTTCTCCAGACCCTTGATCATTTTAGTCGCCCTCCTCTGGACACATTCCAGCTTGTCAATATCTCTCTTGAGTTGTGGTGCCCAGAAATGGACACAATATTCTAGGAGTGGTGTAACCAAAGCGGAATAGAGCATGGGGAGCATTACTTCCCTAGATCTAGACACTATGCTCCTGAAATTTTTGGCAATTTGGGGAGCCCTGCCTGATCCGTCATTGTGTGTTTTCGAATCGAAAGTACATTTGAAGAACTTGCACCTGTAATAGGAATGGGTAACCACTTGACTCTGCTAGTTGAATAAAAGAGCCATGTAAATCTATGCCAGGCTCTTAGTGAACATGAGGGAATAGAGAATCTGGCATTATCATATTTTTCAATAATTTGTACATCAATATTTTTTGGCTGATTTGGCCACAACCACAACTGGGAGACAGCGCAGAGCAATTTCCTATCAGTCCTTGAAGCACATTACCATGTAAATACCTCTTCTCTTTCTGTGTAAACGTTATTAGCTTACTAGGCAGCGGTACTTAAAATGGGACAATGGAGGAGAAATTGCCAGCTGTTGAGCTGTTTTATCCTGGCATGCATAAGGAGTTACAGAGGAAATTATAAATCCGTGCATTTTCAAAAATAATAAATAAATAAACAGCAGCAAAAAATCAACAAGTGTTGAACTTTGCATTTCATATTAGGAGTGTGCGAAATGGCAGAAATCCATTCTGTTTTCATTTCGAATTTCAAGTGCTCCCCATTCTGTTTGCAGGAAGATTGTTCCGTTTTCAGTAACCAGGAATCCGTATCCCGAATTCCAAATCTGAACGGCCCCTGTCTTAATCTCTTGGAATCTTCCCAAAAACAAAACTGGGAGCAACTGAAATTTGAAACTAAAACAGAACAGATTTCTGCCATTTTGCACACCCCTATTTCATATTAGAATGCTTTGGAGTATATTTCCTCTTACATGAAGATCTTGTGAACAGGGAGTCCCTGGTGCCACAGTGGGTTTAACCACTGAGCTGCTAAACTTGTTGACAGAAAGGTCGCAGATTCAAATCCGGACGTGAGCTTCTACTGTTAGCCCCAGCTTCTGCCAACCTAGCAGTTTGAAAACATGTAAATGTGAGTAGTTTAATAGGAACCACTCCAGCAGGAAGGTAACGGCACTCCATGTAGTCATGCCAGTGGCCACATGACCTTGGAGGTGTTTATCTACAATGCTGGCTCTTTGGCTTAGAAATGGAGATGAGCACCAACCCCCAGAGTGAGACACGACTGGACTTAATGTCAGGCAAAAACCTTTACCTTTACCTATTGTGAACAGAGGCATGTAGAGAGGCATTTGTGTGAATAGGGGTTCTTAATATAACAATTAAAAATGAGTCCATGAAATAGTTTTTTGTAGCCCAACGCTTTCCCAACAGACCCTTCTAGTCTGTTTTCCTTCCTGCTTTCCTACTTCCTTTCTTTGGTGGAGTTGTGCAAATTGAGAGTGCAGTCCAGTCAGAAAAAAACAAAACACATACATATTTGACAGGTAGTGCAGTGTGTTAAATCGATGAGTTGCTGAACTTGTTGACTGGAAGGTCAACAGTCCAAATCCATGGGACGGGGTAAGCTCCCGCTGTTAGCCCCAGCTTCTGCCAAATTAGCAGTTCGAAAACATGCAAATGTGAGTAGATCAATAGGTACCGCTCCAGTGGGAAGGTAATGGAATCCATGCAATCATGTTGGCCACATGACCTTGGAGACGTCTACGGACAATGCCGGCTTTTCGGCTTAGAAATGGATATGA